CAAGTGAATCCAACGAGATGGAGCTTCTTTTTATTCAAACTACCATGATGGCCCAGTTTTATGAAAAGTTTCCCGAAGTGTTGCTCCTCGACGGCACCTACAGGACCAACAACTTGAAAATGACCCTCTTTGTTTTTATGGTGGTCGACGGAAATGGGTGTAGCCAGGTTGTGGCTTACTGCTTCGTAAGCAGCGAGGGTCTTGCCCACATGGACATTATGATGAGGACCTTTGTGGTCCTGCAGGGAATGCAGAAGACAAAGTGTGTCATCGTAGACAAAGATTTCAAAGAAATAAGAGCCATCCGTGACAACTTTTCGCCAGACACTGTCATTCAGCTGTGTGAATTTCATGTGAAGAAGGCGTTGAAGAAGGCTGTTGGCAGCAGCAAGACGGACAATGACAAGAAGATGCTCAATGGTCTTTTGGAGCGGATGATCCATGCCCCAAATAAAGAGGCATACCAAGATCTTAAAGCAGAATTGGACCGCACGGCCAGCAAAAGCTTCACAGAGTATTTCAACAAGAACTGGGATGGCATCCAGGACATGTGGGTTCGCTATCGTTGCGACAGACACTTCAACCTCGGCAACAACACCACGAACCGAGTTGAGTGTCACAATTCAAAACTGAAGGCAGTCTTGAAAGCAAATGACAAACTCCATGCAACTTTGAAGTCTATGCTGAAGCTCCATAGCACCAAGATAATTGAAGCAGAGCACAGGCATGCCCTCGATGCCACCACGACGTTCTTCACGTACAGGAGCAGCTCTGATCTAATTCACCAATGCTCCTCACTGTTGACGCCGTTCGCTACACAGGCAGTAGTATGTGAGGAGGAACGAGCAAACAAGATGGCTGGAGCATCCATTGCAAATGATGGAGAGGACTACTCTGTCCCAACCCAGAGAGGCGTGTATGAGGTACTCTACACTTTGGCGAGCTGCACGTGCAGAACTTTCACCACAATGGGAGTAATATGCCGCCATATAATTTTCGTATCATGGCAAACAGGGCGTGCGATTGACGTTGCTACGGCAACAAACTCCAGGTAGAAGAAAGCGTCGCAGCCGTACCTTCCTGCAGAAATCAGCAATCGGGGAGCACCACAGCTTCAGTGCATGCAGCTGAAAGAGCCAGACTACAGTACCGCTTCAAGAGGAGCGAAGTACAACCATGCTCTTTGTCTGCTGAAAGACATTGGGGACCTGGTGGCAGAGTGCGGTTCGAAGAGTTCAAGTGCAGAATTAATCTAATCAAGAAACTAAAGGCCTTGTGGATGAAAAATAAGACTGTAGAAATTTGGTGCAGCAGTGGCACCGAAAGTGATGAAGATGCCTTCCCAGAGGACTGCAGTGACACAATTGCAAGAATCTCAGAAGAATCAACCCCTAGCAGCCATGTCCGCACATCATTGTCATGCTTGCCAGACTATCAGGTACCAAGTCCCCTTCCATTGCATCTGTTTCATTTTTTTAATCTATGTCCCTTCATCCAGTCCCCTGGTGCAGAGCCGCAGTCTCATGCAGAGCCTGTAACCCACACACCAGAAATAGTTTCTCGGCAAAGCCCTCAGGTACTTGTCATTCTCCCCTGCTTTTGATTATTTTTGACCTGTGCTATTTTATCCAGTTCCCTGGCACAGCACCACGGCCACCTGCAATGCCCGCAGCCCAGCCTCTGACACCAGTGTCTTCCCAAGGCTACCAGGTAACTGAGTCCTTCTCCCATGCCTTCGAATGTTTTTGACCTGTGCTCTCATCCAGTTTCCTGGCACAACACTGCGACCATCTCCAGTGCCTGCAGCTAAGTCTCCGGCGCCAGTGTCTTCCCAAGGCTCCCAGGTACTGAGTCTTCTTCCCATGCATTTGAATGTTTTTTACCTGTGCTCTTTCATCCAGTTTCCTGGCACAGCACTCCGGCCATCTCCAGTGTCTGGAGCTAAGTCTTCAGCAGCAGTGTCTTCCCAAGGCTCCCAGGTACTGAGTCTTCTTCCTTTGCCTTCGAATGTTTTTGACCTGTGCTCTTTCATCCAGTTTCCTAGTACAGCACCGAAGCCACCTCCAGTGCCTGCAGCTAAGTCTCCGGCAGCAGTGTCTTCCCAAGGCTCCCGGGTACTGAGTCTTCTTCCTTTGCATTCGAATGTTTTTGACCTGTGCTCTTTCATCCAGTTTCCTGGCACAGCACTCCGGCCATCTCTAGTGTCTGGAGCAAAGTCTCCAGCAGCAGTGTCTTCCCAAGGCTCCCAGGTACAGAGTCTTCTTCCCTTGCATTCGAATGTTTTTGACCTGTGCTGTTTCATCCAGTTTCCTGGCACAGCACTGCCGCCATCTCCAGTGAATGTAGCTAAGTCTTCGGCAGCAGTGTCTTCCCAAGGCCCCCCGGTACTGGGTCTTTTTCCCTTGCCTTTGAATCTTTTTGACGTGTTCTCTTTCATCCAGTTTCCTGGTACAGCACTGAAGCCACCTCCAGTGTCTGGAGCTAAGTCTTCAGCAGCAGTGTCTTCCCAAGGCTCCCAGGTACCGAGTCTTCTTCCCTTGCCTTCGAATGTTTTTGACCTGTGCTGTTTCATCCAGTTTCCAGGCACAGCACTCCAGCCATCTCCAGTGCATGTAGCTAAGTCCTCGGCAGCAGTGTCTTCCCAAGTCTCCCAGGTACTGAGTCTTTTCCCCTTGCCTTCGAATCTTTTTCACCTGTTCTCTTTCATCCAGTTTCCTGGTACAGCACTGAAGCCACATCCCATGCCTGCAGCTAAGTCTTTGGCAGCAGTGTCTTCCCAAGGCTCCCAGGTACTGAGTCTTTTTCCCTTGCCTTTGAATCTTTTTCACCTGTTCTTTTTCATCCAGTTTTCTGGTACAACACTCAAGCCACCTCCAGTGTCTGGAGCTAAGTCTTAGGCAGCAGTGTCTTCCCAAGGCTCCCAGGTACTGAGTCTTTTTCCCTTGCCTTTGGATCTTTTTCACCTGTTCTTTTTCATCCAGTTTTCTGGTACAACACTCAAACCACCTCCAGTGTCTGGAGCTAAGTCTCCAGCAGCGGTGTCTTCCCAAGGCTCCCAGGTACCGAGTCTTCTTCCCTTGCCTTCGAATGTTTTTGACATGTGCTGTTTCATCCAGTTTCCTGGTACAGCACTGAAGCCACCTCCAGTGCCTGCAGCTAAGTCTCCGGCAGCAGTGTCTTCCCAAGGCTCCCAGGTACTGAGTCTTCCCTTGCATTCGAATGTTTTTGACTTGTGCTCTTTCATCCAGTTTCCTGGCACAGCACTCCGGCCATCTCCAGTGTCTGGAGCAAAGTCTCCAGCAGCAGTGTCTTCCCAAGGCTCCCAGGTAGCGAGTCTTCTTCCCTTGCCTTCGAATGTTTTTGACCTGTGCTGTTTCATCCAGTTTCCTGGCACAGCACTGCGGCCGTCTCCAGTGTCTGGAGCTAAGTCTCCAGCAGCAGTGTCTTCCCAAGGCTCCCAGGTAGCGAGTCTTCTTCCCTTGCCTTCGAATGTTTCTGACCTGTGCTGTTTCATCCAGTTTCCTGGCACAGCACTCCGGCCATCTCCAGTGTCTGGAGCAAAGTCTCCAGCAGCAGTGTCTTCCCAAGGCTCCCAGGTAGCGAGTCTTCTTCCCTTGCCTTCGAATGTTTTTGACCTGTGCTGTTTCATCCAGTTTCCTGGCACAGCACTGCGGCCATCTCCAGTGTCTGGAGCAAAGTCTCCAGCAGCAGTGTCTTCCCAAGGCTCCCAGGTAGCGAGTCTTCTTCCTTTGCCTTCGAATGTTTTTGACCTGTGCTGTTTCATCCAGTTTCCTGGCACAGCACTCCGGCCATCTCCAGTGTCTGGAGCAAAGTCTCCAGCAGCAGTGTCTTCTCAAGGCTCCCAGGTACCGAGTCTTCTTCCCTTGCCTTCAAATGTTTTTGACCTGTGCTGTTTCATCCAGTTTCCTGGCACAGCACTACAGCCGTCTCCAGTGTCTGGATCTAAGTCTCCAGCAGCAGTGTCTTCCCAAAGCTCCCAGGTACTGAGTCTTCTTCCCTTCCCTTCGAATGTTTTTGACCTGTGCTGTTTCATCCAGTTTCCTGGCACAGCACTGCGGCCATCTCCAGTGCATGTAGCTAAGTCTCCGGCAGCAGTGTTCTTCCCGAGATTCCCAGGTACTGAGTCTTTTTCCCTTGCCTTCGAATGTTTTTGACTTGTGCTCTTTCATCCAGTTTCCTGGTACAGCACTGAAGCCACCTCCAGTGCCTGCAGCTAAGTCTCCGGCAGCAGTGTCTTCCCAAGGCTCCCAGGTACTGAGTCTTCTTCCCTTGCATTCAAATGTTTTTGACCTGTGCTCTTTCATCCAGTTTCCTGGCACAGCACTCCAGCCATCTCCAGTGTCTGGAGCAAAGTTTCCAGCAGCAGTGTCTTCGCAAGGCTCCCAGGTACCGAGTCTTCTTCCCTTGCCTTCGAATGTTTTTGACATGTGCTCTTTCATCCAGTTTCCTGGCACAGCACTACGGCCGTCTCCAGTGTCTGGAGCTAAGTCCCCAGCAGCAGTGTCTTCCCAAGGCTCCCAGGTACCGAGTCTTCTTCCCTTGCCTTCGAATGTTTCGACCTGTGCTCTTTCATCCAGTTTCCTGGCACAGCACTACGGCCGTCTCCAGTGTCTGGAGCTAAGTCTCCGGCAGCAGTGTCTTCCCGAGACTTCCAGGTACTGAGTCTTTTTCCCTTGCCTTCGAATGTTTTTGACCTGTTCTTTTTCATCCAGCTTCCTGGTACAGCACTGAAGCCACCTCCAGTGCCTGCAGCTAAGTCTCCGGCAGCAGTGTCTTCCCGAGACTCCCAGGTGCTGAGTCTTTTTCCCTTGCCTTCGAATGTTTTTGACCTGTGCTCTTTCATCCAGTTTCCTGGTACAGCACTGAAGCCACTTCTAGTGCCTGCAGCTAAGTCTCCGGCGGCAGTGTCTTCCCGAGACTCCCAGGTCCTGAGTCTTCTTCCCTTGCCTTCGAATGTTTTTGACCTGTGCTCTTTCATCCAGCTTCCTGGTACAGCACCGAAGCCACCTCCAGTGCCTGGAGCTAAGTCTCCAGCAGCAGTGTCTTCCCAAGGCTCCCAGGTACTGAGTCTTCTTCCCTTGACTTCGAATGTTTTTGACCTGTGCTCTTTCATCCAGTTTCCTGGCACAGCACTGCTGCCACCTCCAGTGCCTGCAGCTAAGTCTTCGGCAGCAGAAGGCTCCCAGGTACTGAGTCATTCTCCCTTGCCTTCTAATGTTTTTGACCTTTGCTGTTTCATCCAGTTTTCTTGTACAGCACTGTGGCTATCTACAGTGCCTGCAGCTAAGTCTCTGGCACCAGTGCCTCCAAAAAGCTAGGTATTCATACGAGGGAAATCTAACACTTCTTTCTGTGGCGTGCGTATCATTTGACGATGACGTCATGCTTTTCTGAGGCGGCGCGGTGACGCACAGCTCTGCGTCCAAGGGTGGAGGATGTGCTCACGCGGTACAAATGCTTCTCGGTTTCTCCGGCTTGACGTAAGCGGAGCTGTTGTGGAAGGGGCCCCACTGGCTGATGTCACACACATCTGTCCGTGAACTTTTTATTTTGTGTGATACCGCATAATCTTCTGGCACAAGAGCCTCACCAAGGCTCCTAAGTACAAAATCCTTTTCTTACCTTTGATTTCTCATTTCTTGCAGCTCCCAAATGCAGCAGGGCTGGAGGAAGGGGTGCTGAGGAAGTCTCTTTCCATGAAATTAAGCCAAGGTTTCCAGGTCTGGAGTCCTTGGTTTTGTGTTTGAAAACTTTGTTAATTTTCATTATTTTAACCCTGGAGAGTGGGGACAGCAAGGAAAACACAACAAAGATCTGTGTCGTGTTGTACTTCTTGTCCCCACTCTCCAGGGTTAAAATAATGTCTAAACTCAACCAGCTCGCATGCGCCCTTGCTTTAACTTTGTTAATTTCTTATTTCTTGCAGCTCCCAGATGCAGCAGGACCAGAAGAAGGCTTGCTGAAGAAGTCTTTCTCTATGGAATTAAGCCAAGGTTTCGAGGTTTGGAGTACTAGGGTTTGTTGTTGAAATCTTTGTTAATTTTTTCATTTCTTGCAGCTCCCGGATGCAGGAAGACCAGTGAAAGGGTTTCCGAGGAAGTCTCTTTCCATGGAATTGAGCCAAGGTTTTGAGGTCTGGAGTCCTTGGTTTAGATTTTGAAACCTTTGTTAATTTCTCGTTTCTTGCAGCTCCCAGATGCAGCAGGACCAGAAGAAGGCTTGTTGAAGAAGTCTTTCTCTATGGAATTAAGCCAAGGCTTCGAGGTTTGGGGTACTAGGTTTTGTTTTTGAAATCTTTGTTAATTTCCTTTTTCCTTGCAGCTCCCAGATGCAGCAAGACCAGAAGGCTTGTTGAAGAAGTCTTTCTCTATGGAATTAAGCCAAGGCTTCGAGGTCTGGAGTACTATGTTTTGTTTTTGAAATCTTTGTTAATTTCTCGTTTCTTACAGCTCCGAGATGCAGCAGGACCAGAAGGCTTGCCAGAGAAGTCTTTCTCTATGGAATTAAGCCAAGGTTTCAAGGTCCGGAGTCTTTGATTTAATTTGTTCTAGAAAACTTCGTTAATTTCTCGTTTCTTGCAGCTCTCGGATGCAGCAGGACCAGAAGGCTTGCCGATGAAGTCTCTCCCTATGGAATTGAGCCAAGGTTTTGAGGTCTGGAGTCCTATGTTTTGTTTTTGGAATCTTTGGTAATTTTTGGTTTCTTGCAGCTCCCAGAGTCAGCAGGACCAGATGAAGAGTTGCCAAAGGAGATTATGCCTGTGCAACTTAGCCAAGGCTTGGAGGTATGAAGGACTGGTGCCTTTCTCTCAATTGCTTTTTAACAATTTTTGTTTTGTTTAGTCTTCTGATACAGCAGTAAGTGCAGCAGTGAACAATGCCCTGCAAGGCGTGAGGCTGTCAGCTCGCAAGGGACCACGTGGAAACCCCTGTGGATCCAAAGACTCCTGCACAGGAATTAGATTTCCTTCTAGAAAGAAGGCAAACCAGGCTTCATTAAATTGTTTATTTGCAGCGCTTCCCACAAAAGAGAAGACATTGCGTAAGTGCATTCATTAGGCATTTCATTGGTGTAACTTAGTTGCATAAATAAGTGTTGTGGTAATTTATAGCTATGCTGCACTGGTTCGTCGATGGTGAGACTGCATCCGACACATTGAAAGATGGGTACTGCATACAGGAACGGGATATCTCTGTCACCTCTAAATCATTGTCAAGTGGTGCCTTAGACACCCGAGCACCAATTCTCACATTGAAGAAGTACTTCTCTCGAGCTGCTTGGTGCAAAATCAACGAACTTCGTACATATAGGATCTAGCTTTAAAATTTGATGTAGTTTTTCTACTGCACTTGTGTTTTTGACTGTAGAACAGAATCCTGTTTTTATTTTTTCTAATGTTTCAGTGAAAGAAAAGAAAGAGCAAGGTCTGTGGTTTTGCCATAAATGTGACCTCGAAGATGACCACACCATCAAGATGATAGCGTGTGACCTGTGCATGGAGTGGTACCACTGGTGAGCTAATAACTCTACTTAAAACTGTATTTTAATGCAAGCTAAATATAAAACTTACTCATGCAGAGCACACTATGCACAAGTGGGGAGAAAAGCTTCAGCTCAAATTTTCCAAGAATGTAGCATAGAAAATGCTTAAAAAGGAGTTATTCTCAATACTTTTGTTGTGTCTTAACCTTGCAATGTGACCGCCATCTGAGCAAGTGCTTTTTTTCTTTTCTGAAGGCCTTGCGTAGGTATCGGCAAGAAAACTGTTCCCAGAGGGGATTGGTTCTGCTACAACTGCAAATAGGAAAACAACAAGGATCTAGACACTACAAGTCACGGACAAGAAAATGATCACAAGAAAATAATCTCCTGAGCCAGACGGTCAACTTGGAGTAATTTCTCTATTTCCTGTGTATACCGTGACTCAACGTGTGGATCTTATTTTTCTTGAAGTAACTTCAAGAAGAAGGTTTCCAGAAAGAAGATTGATTATATTTATATCGCCTATGGACCGTTTTGTTGGTCTTCAAGAAGTTTTTTCGATTGTTAACATAATTTTGCATCTTCCAGATTTTTTAAAATGTATTATTTTTTTTAATGTTTCGACAAGCTTTACATTCTTTATTTTTCAGTGATATCTACTGCATTGCATGTGTCATGAGTGTGCTTTTTATTTTTGTTTTGAGGCGTTTTTTTAGTATATGCAATTTGTGTGGATTATTCTTAACATTTCTTAATGTTAATTTTGGTATGTTTCAATGCATCTTGTATAATTTTTAATGATTCATTTATATTTTCTTTGTCATGTGTCAATTCTTATCTTCAACTGTCTTTAGCAGTGTGGCAGTATTTTAATTCAGTTTACCGTTTTAGCATGTCATGGAGTCGCACTCAAGGGTTTAATTTCGCTCATTGTTTACTGTACTGTACATTTCAATGCTAGACTCACTATTACAAACAATTATGCACAGATGTTGGGACATATCAGGTCCTGGATGTCAAGTAAGCTTCTAGATGTACCACATTTTGTCATGTGAATCCTGCATTTCATGTTCTTGAGTTTTCGATTTTTATGTCTTGACCTGTAGCACATTTCAAACGATTTTGACTTTAACTGCTGCTGTTTTTCTTCCTGCTTTTCCTCTGAACTTTTTGAAATATGGTTTCTTCTTGATACTTGAAAATAAATTGTACAATGGTCCAAATAATGCCTCTCTTGCCATTTGTATCAATAAAAACATTTGATAATCCTCAATGTACTAGTTATTTTGTGCAACATGAGCCATCATTGCATATCTGGAACAGGATTGACCTTCGGATACATGCCCTTTTGCATAAGGGCACTGCTTTAACCGTTTTGCTTAATGCACAGTTAGAGAATTCCACATGCAGTGTTACAGGGAACTGACATGGTGTAACACATCCTCCAAGAATGGAACAGGAACTCGGTCTGCTCCGATCTGCTCGCTGAGGCTATGGTTTTTTTCTGTTTACTATGTTATGCTAAAATAGAGTATTGTCATAGTCATTGAAGTTCCCTCCTAATGACGTTTCCTCTAACTTTCTTTTGTTTTGCTGGATGATGGATATTCTGATACAAGACATTTCTTCACAACACATTTCGAGGAAAGGCACCAAGGTAATGTATTTCCGCTTCGTCGTGTTGTTGCTCGTGCAGAAATATGGCTGTGCTTCTATACAGCGCGGTGCCTTCTGTTCCTGTAGTTTCTAAGAGTGAAGAAGCCAAGAAAGTACAGCGGTGCAGCAGTTGCATCTCTTAGTAACAGTGTAAATTTCATGTCTAAATTCTGCTTCAAAGTTCTTTTTTGTTTTTTTTCTTTCTTAATGCACAGTAACTGAATTCCTTTTCGTTTGCTAGCCAGATTTCATTGAGTTTCTAAGTTGCGGCATTCGATGCCAGTTATTAAAGTTGTTGGCGAGGTTTAAATGCATGTCATAACAGTTACAAACCAACATTTTTCGACAAGGTTCCATCGCGAGCGGCTTTGCAAAATGCTTTTTTCGCGAGCGCTCGCGAAAGCATCCAACAAAGCCGTGCTCCCGCGCTCAAATTAATCAAGATTCTAACAAAGCTCACATTATCTCGAACAGCCAGGAAGCGCGAGACTCTAATCCGCACCGTCCACCCCGCATCACAGCCCCCCAACTGCAACAACCTCGCACCGCTGCACCCCTGCACTACCCACTGTGGCGCTACCACACACACACGCCAACGAAAAGGCGTTGCACCATCGTTGCGTTGCACACACACACACACACACAAATTAATAATAAATTTGCGCGTATTCGCACTTTGGGTGCGGATAAAAAGTCACCCTTATTCGCACCCTGGGTGCGGATAAAAATGAGTCCTTATTCGCACCCCGGGTGCGGATAAGAATGCGTCCTAATTCGCACCTCGGGTGCGGATAAAAATCCGCCCTTATTCGCACTTCCGGTGCGGATAGGGACAGCCGCATTGCACATTGTCGTAACATTCACTACGCAAATTATGGCGCTTCCGAAGAACGGGCCACCGGGAAGCGCGGAGGTCGCTGATGAACGTGTGAATCTCAATGATATGCCATTTTCTATCCAGGCACTGCGGGAAGCGACCGTTGCGCCTCTCCCCTTGATGGCAAAAGATTGCAAGCGAAAATTGCTCGCCAAAAGTTAAAAAAATGAACTATGTAATTATTGGCAAATCATGCTGTATCATGCAAAGTGGGTGCTCTTGGAAGCTTTTTTTTTATTTTAGTGAAGACGGCCATACAAGTAAAAAAAAACCTGCGACTCACATCGGTCGAAAAAACAACATAAGGGTCTAATCTTGTGTAGAAGCATGCTATTATAAGAGTAAGTATCGACAGAAAATAATAAGCCGAAAATATTTACTGTTTCTTATTTCATTTTGATGCATTAGAGTCTGGTGCAATCGATTTTTATGTTTTCAACTTAGACACTTTTAATACAATATTTACCATACAACTAGACCAAAATATATCACTGCTAATGAAAATTATTTTTAAATTAATGGCCGCACGTGTATAATATGCTTTCGGACAGCACAAGATTTCCGGGTGTGCGTGTTGGTAAATTTCCTGTAATACTTTTTTCTTGAGTCGTAAAAATACCGTCGTCCTCCTTTTACTCCCTCCCCCCCCCCCATTCCCCCCCCCCCCCCCCCCCCCCCCCCCCCCCCGGTTAGGGTGTCCCGCATTCCACCGGCAGGAATGGTCACCCCAATTTCTACCGCAGCGGCCACTCCGGGAACGGCACGTCTGCACATATCCGTTCAGGTCGAGTCGCGAAAAGGCCGGAGGCGCCATGTCGCAGTGCCATTTCGCAGTAACGATATAAATGAACTTTCATCTGTCGACCAGTCACTAAAGGGCGGCGGCGCTGTTATCGTATTTAGTTTAGGGAGCCTTCCTACACAGGCGTCAAGCCTGTCTTAGGGTGGGGACATCTCCGCCATTTCGGTCCCCGGAATGCAAGAGCTTCGGTCTCGTTCGGAGCGAGCGCTTAGCTCGGGTCGGTGCTTTGGCGCCATTTTGAGGGCCATTTCGCACGCGCTGGTAGTTTTCTATACTACGATGGTTGTCTTCGCCCTGTGGCAGAGGCACATCGAGACACCCAAATTTAGTTTGGTTTTGTCTCGGCAGACGCGAGTGGTCCGGGTTTCAAGGTTTGCAAGTGAACGTTTTAGTAGCGTTGGGACTATAGCGGGGCGCAATCAGGAACTTCAACCGAAAAATATAATGTTTTGGTTACAGTTACGGTTACCGTTTCCTGTTGATATCGGTTTCGTTTCGGTTTTAACGGTTTCGGTTACCGGTTACAAGTTCCTAAAAACCGGTTTACTTCGGTTTCTTTAATAATTTGCTTTATTGAAAGGCTAGACGGCCGCTTTATAATACACGATTTAAAGTAGTCCCAGATATCCAACAACAAAAATTTCAAGGAACTTAGAAACGTCTTAGTACTTTTAATAGGTCAAAAGTTTCACACGTTTCTAGCTCAAGCGCTTGCTCACTATATCCGAAAAAAACAGTGCACCCCCCCCCCCCCCCCCCAAGGGAAAAAACAACAACACGGGGACGCAGACGAAGGAAAACAGGACAAGGCGCCTTGTGCTGTATCCGTCCGTCTGTGTCTCTGTGTTTTTTCGGCGCTTTTGCAATGAACCAACCAGCTCAAATCTCCACTTAATTTCACTACATATTTTTGCGTTATAAAGTTTGATTCCCCGAGCATACATGTTACTTCTGCTACTTGGGGATCATCGCATTTTATACAATAAAAATAAAAATCAACATCGCTCCATTCCTGTTCGGCAGCGTTTGTAAACGACCCTCAGAAAGTTCCCACGGGGTGCTGGAGGAACCATTCGCACCTTCGCGTCGCTTTAGTTTATTGCAATATAAGATATGCAGAAGAGTCTCGGCCACACGAAAGGAAGGGTCAGAACTCTAGACCTCCTCTAGTAAATTACCGCTACGTGGAGTAGAGTAATAAAATTGAGAGCTGGGTGGTTGGTGAAAATCAAATAATATTGTAAATGGAATAGCATGGAAAACACAGAAAGCTGTAAAATATGTCCTGTGCTGTTTCTTTCCTTCCCTATATATTTTTTTTATCGTGGTTAGCGCCATTTTGGGTGAGAGAAAGGGAAGAGGGAAAATGGCTACCGGCGCTTTCCCCTTGCTGGCGCATTAGAAAGTGTGAAAGTCCAGGATGGAGAGCATTCGTCGGTGTTTGAACTTTGGTGCATGCATTACCCGGACCTCGTTCACGATTTCTTCTTTGTTTTAACCTGCCAAACTTAATTAGAGCCACAGGCTTGGATGGCGACACTCCCCCGGTCATCGGAACACCATTGCTTGGATATAGGGTGCACGAATAACGACAGAAAAAGTCGAATACTGTCGGAGGACCTATGTAGCTTGCACGGAATCCGGCAAGCGCTGCTGCAGTGTCTTTAAGCTCCATCACTTTTCCCATGACCCCAATCTCCGGGGGCAGTGGGTTGCGTCCGCAAACCGAAAATACTTTTGCCCAACGCCGTCATTTCGACTGTGCTCGCAACATTTTGTGAACGGAGCTCGCACCACCGATGAACATAGGCTACATTTTCAAGGAGCGTGCAAGTTTTCCCGTGATAATCGTTGTCTCAGCTGGCAACGTTTCTTAACTGAATTTATCTTAATATTGATATATTGAAGTGATGACACTGACTCGAGTTTATCATTTACAACACTTACTTGAAGGCTCATACCGCCGCCGGGTGTGGCCGGAAATCGTCGAAAAGTTAGTTCTATCGGTTTTGTGAATCGCGATCTCCTGCGCGATACCAGAGCCGCGAACATACGTGGACCG